TCTTCGACTGATTCAACGATATTGCAAAAGTTGTCTGAAATATTGATAAGTCCACTGACTGGGTCAGCAGGTATTTCGCCATTTCCAATTGCGAGAAGTTGTTCAGCGAAACGGCCGGCAGATACGTCACCTTGTAAGTGCACTCTCATGTTAGTACTGAGTTTAAATGGTACAACATGTCTCCAAAGATACGAAGATTTCAAGCAAGCTTTTAGCTCATCAGCCATAGTACCCTTTGGAATAACTGGTAATGTTTGTCTAAAATCGCCAGCAATAAGTACAACTACTCCACCCATATTCTTTCCATTGTTACGAAGATCCTGTAAAGTATGGTTCAAAGCTTCTAATGCATACCTATGAGCCATTGTGCACTCGTCCCATACAATAAGTTCACATTCTTGCAGAACCTTTGCTTCGCTAGTTCCTTTGGTAATACTACAGACATGAGTTTGATTTTCCAAAAACTTAAGAGGTAACTTTAATGTCGAGTGCGCAGTACGGCCACCTTGAAGCAGCGTAGCAGCGATACCGGAAGAGGCGACCGCAATCGCAATCTTTGACTGATGCCGGATTTTAGCCAATAACAAATTAATGACAAATGTCTTTCCTGTTCCACCAGGTGCATCAAGGAAGATTATTCCACCAGCTTTCTTCTCGATCTGATTCAAAATCGCATTGTATGCAGCTCTCTGATCCGGTACCAACAGTGGCTCATTTGCTGTTATATAAGCATCCAACTCTTTCACATCATAACTTGTTTCTCTGAGCATTGCACTGTTTAATCGATCACCCGAATTTCGTTTAGGAGTTGGAAGCTCTAATTTCTCAAGTTCTTTGCCACCCATCTCTAAAACTTTATTTTCAATAATAATCAGTGCTTGATTAAACATATCTGGTGTATAATCCAAATTCATTCCAGGATTTTGTCTGCGAGCATTTCTCAGAATGTCTTCAGTCAAGCTTTCTTTGTACGGCTCCCATAATTGTTTTGGATTCGATGGTCCACAAACAGCTAGTATAAGAGCAAATAGATTTCTCAATCTTGCTGGTGATTGAGCTGCAGCTGCTTCGGACATAGTGGCATCCCATTGCTGATCATCTTCCAGTAATCCCTGTAATTGACATGCTTCACGAAATGTTGCACAGATCTGACCGTTTACAGTTCGAAGAGCTTCAAATGAAGTAGGGCCTCTGACCACATGAAGTGAGAGTTGTAGGAAGAAGCATTCGAAATTATTAGGATGCACAGTGTAAACACGACCTAATGCATCTCCTTCTCTAATGTCTGGATGACCAAGCACAGCAGTTCCTTGAACGCGCCGCTTAAACACTTTTTCAGACGCGTTCCATGTGTAGTATTTTGGAACATCACAGTACAACAGCGTTTTGGCAAAGTCGTCTTTCTGGCAGAGTAAGAAAAATGCTGTTAGTGTTGTTCTTGGTGGTTCATTAACTTTCTCATGAACATTATCTTCGGTGAAATAAATACGTTGACCATTTTCCAAATGAACAGCCAAATGAACAACGGTTGGATATCGTTCGTGAATCGGAAAAACTAAGATTCTCCAGACTGCCTCATTGCTACTAATGTATCTACCTAACTGGTAGTTACTAATTTCATCAACTGATGTTCCATCTCTTCCCAAACCGAACACTGCCTGATCACTGCCCTTGTTGACATATTTGCAGATGTATTAGATTGATTTTACCGAGTTGCAATATTCCACATTAATGTGGGCTTGAAAGATCCGAGAGAGTAGTGGACAATATGGCACAACCCACTTGTTGTCAATTTCAATTTCTTGAATGGAGTTATTAATTCTCATTTTGATTTTGGCTTTGATACCACCATCTTCTGAACTTCTTCTTCTATACGATGGATATCCATCGTCACCGGTTTCTGTATCATGCAAGAGTTGTTTTGGATATCTTTTTGTACACTTTTTGTTTTCCATACACGGACAGTTTGGATTGATACTTCCACATGGACCGTGAATCATAGTCTTGATAATTATTTCAAATAGTCGAGGATCTCGTTCAGGATCAGGTAGTTCTGCGCTGATCACGCTATCTATTTGATCCGCTTTAATTTTGTTCTTCAGCCATATCAAAATATGAGCATGTGGTAGTCCTCTCTTTTGCCATTCAATAGAATACATCCAGCATCTTGTTGGCCCAAATACATGGCTTTTGGTAATAATGTTGACCAATTTAATGAGCTTTTGTCTGAATACTCTTGCTAATAGGTCATGACGATCAGAGGGAGCTTGACCTTCCATTAATTCTTCTTGAATTTCTCGCCACTTAGGATTGCAGGTGAATGTTATAAAGAGGTCGGGTCTTCCGTGGTTTCTTACATAAGTCATAGCGTCTTGTGTATACTCATGCATGTGCCGCGGGCTTCCAGTGAAAGTTGCTGGTAGAATCACTAATTGACCAAGATTGTCAGCTCGTCCATCATTGGCTATAGCATCTTTCAGGTGAATGTATTCATCCACTCTAAGCTTTTTTTGATTATAACGTAGAAACGATAATCTTTCACTTTCAATCTTAGCGTACATGTCAACCACATACTGATGGAAAAGTTGTCGGCACTGTAAGATATGATTGACAGCGCCAGTTCGTACCATAATTCTGTAAGCATAAAAACTCATAGCCGACACTTTTTTGCCAGTGACAGCCATTCCAGTAGTTGGATCAGTCTGTTCGATAAGAAAATGGTAGCCATCCTCACCTTTCCAAAAGATGAGAGGATATTGCAAGGCATCATACGATCTGTGTGTCTTAGATACTCTCTGTAACTGGTCATTTTTCTTCTCCAAGACAATATCTCGTTTCTCAAAGTCGTTGCCAGCGATGACAACCGCCACCTCATTTGTCACTGGCTCATTGAAGCGACGTGCATGCTCTCCAGCAGGTTTCATGTCTGCTCGAATAAGCACCTTGTATTGATCTGTAGGCATTCTTTGAAGGGCAGTCTTGAAAAGATCAACATAAATGTGGTGCTCATGAACCATTCGCTGCAGTTTCTCCACAATGTCTTGACGTACGCCAGGCATGTTTTTGCAACGTTGTTGTACTTCTTTTCGATCGTCGCCCATGAAGTAAATTTGAAGAAATTTATGTTCTTCATTCGAAGGCGGCAGCAGAGATCCTACACGATGATATGCTTGACCCTGAACTCTGAAAGTAGGCATGAAGCCTGAGTCAGACATTTTCTCTGACATGCCAAAAGATGTCATTTGAAAGCAGGAATTATATTTTCTAATGTTATCCAAGAAATGCTTCGATTCAGGCGTTGTTCCTGACATTAATGATTTTCAGTGGTTCAGGAGGAGGCTGAAGTTCAGGTAACTTTACTTTACCACCAGAACAGCACATACCTCGTGTTTCTGCATGCCACTTGAGGGCATTACAGTATGGACAAACATCGCTCATTTGTCCAATATAAAGTTGAGGATGGCTGTCATAGTTGTTGGCTGGACCATACCGAAATGCTTCCCCTTCCATAAATGTCCATTGCGCTGCCCTTGAGGCTGCTTGTCGTCTACGCTGATCTTCACTTCGAGTCCGTCTCTGTATCGGATTCTCAGCTGCCCTTGAAGCTGCTTGTCTTGCACGTTGACCATCAAGTCGAGTGCGTGT